GGGGGGGGGAGAATACACCAAGAGAAGTCAGCATTACCTTTCACATCCAGTCTCTTGCCTTTAGGCAGCATTTCTGGTGACGCTCCCCAGAGGTACACATGTAAGTACTAATGCGCGAGTTGCATCAGCTTCTAGCCTCTCTCAGGATCAGCTCCAGTTGCCAAACCATTGCTATTCTAGACCATTTTTGAGCTGACAGAAGCAGAGAGCTCACAAAGCACTGGAGCTGAAGACCGCTAAACACATGAGAACCATCGGAAAAAGCGGAAGCATAAGATGGGAGTGAGATGGAAGAAGCAACAGCCTTCAACTCAGCTCTAATGCTTATCTTGAGAACCGTTATGTCAAACTCCTAGCAACAAAACCACAGTTTCCATTACAACTGTGGGCTTCCCAGCCAAAAATTAAAAGCAAAAACCAAAAACCACAGGAAAAAAACCTCTGGAAAACTGACTCCAAGGCTTCCCAAGACAATAACAGCCCCACAGTTAGCCATTACAGTAAGAGGTGTCAGTCCCTCAGAGCAGTTTCTGTCCGCACAACTCAGTAGTAGCTATTTCAGCAGTGGTCTAGCATTCCTGAACCAGGAAGGCTTCGCTTTTCCTCTTCAAACATGTGCTTAAAGAAGATGAGGGGTGGGAGACACATAGCCCTAATCTCTAGTCACATGTGTTTATCAACTTCTGTAAAGAAAGCTTGAATGGTCCATAACCACAAAAGAAACAGGGACTGGTGCCTCTCAGCTTCCCAAAACAATGCCTGTTGTACTCTCCCAGGAGGAATTGGAGCTTTCCTCCTCTCATGAAAACAAACCAACGAGAAGAGATCAGGTCTCAAACCTGTCCCAGCTATTACAAATAGCAACTCTCAAATTTTATATTCTGTTCACCCGTTCACATACCCTTTACACTTCCTTCCAGATATTGGGGGGGGGGCGGGGGGCACACCCACATCTGCCCTTTCCTACAACTGTCCTGAGCACAACAAGCAAGATATGGCTTGAATTGCAACCCATCACAACGTATCGCGGAAGAATAAAGCTTCGTGGAAGAAGCACTAGAACGCACCCCCCATCCGGAGCCAACGGCCCAAAAACATTTGGCTGCAAAATAATTCTTAACTCAGGAAGCCATAGACAGTCTTTTCCCACATCACGCTTTTTCTGAATACCAATAAGCATACAGAAAAGGAGTGAGGTCCCTGCTGTTGTAAAACTTCATGGTTCTCCAGCCCTTCTACACTTTGCAACAGCTGCTCGCTGTTGCGCCTTTCAGTAGCACGTGTTAGAGCTCCTAAAAGCTTGTCCAGCCCACAGAGAAGCGGTCAAAAAGCTTACCCTAGGCCATGGTCCCCTCTGGAGGACACTTAGCCCCTTGTTTACAGAGCTCCGGTGTTTCGTGCGCTGATAGATCATCTCAATGCATTCATCTATGCTTATTAGGTTAAGCTGAAAACCAATCAAGGAACAAATGTTAAAAGATCTATGCATTTAACCGAGGGGAGGAAGTCTCTCTTGGGACACTCAGTCAAGAAACAGGGAACTAGGTGCAGAGGAAAAGAATTACCGCCTCCGCCAACCCTGCACGCTTGGCACGAGCAGTGACGTTGGAGAGCTGGGAACTCGGCTGTCTGTTCAGAAACCAACATGCTTTATTCATTGTCTACAAGATGGGGAGTTTGTCCCTTTGAACCTTCAGTCACCTGACGCTCTCCACAATTCAAAGTGCGCTTATACCAACTGATGGTATCTGTTTGAGGTCAAGGAAATATCTGGAGAGGAAAAGTCCCCGTTTGTGACTTCTGTTCCAAACCAACACGTGCTTCCGTTCGGAAAGCACAGCTCCGCGTTTCCCCAGACTGGGAGCGGCGACACAGACGCGCAGGGAGCTTGTGAAGAACGTTGTCTCAACACATTGCATTGCAAGAGGGATCAGCACGTGCTCCGCACCTGCCTGGCACGCGGGCCGCCCCCCAACACATTGCATTGCAAGACTGAAAAAATTTGCTTTCTCAAAAGCAAAAGTCTGTGAATCTACAAAGAAGAGCAGACATCTCTGCTTTCCATCTCACCCTTTAGAAACCTGTAGCTCTGTGTGACTCGGAGGAGAAGCACTTTCCAAGGAGCTTGGCTGGGCAAGGTGTGCATTAAAGGTATGTAAAGGAGTGCCAAGGGGAAGTCTATCAAGTATACAATTCATGCTGAGCTGTGGGGCTTTTCATCCTATTTGTCAGATGAATGAAAACCATGAGCACTCAGTCTGGACTCTTCTCGTTCTCACCACTTCCTGTCTCTCAACACCCCCAAATCAAGCGCAGCAGCTGGATTTGCCTGCTGTGCTTTGGTACTCACCAGTGATGAAGCCGGCTGTTAAGTAAAGCTGGCTGAGGGACTTGCAGAAGGAGCTGGACACCATGCCCACTCCGCTGAGCAGGCCTCCCAGCATCACAGCAAACCTGCAGCCAAATCGCTTAACCAAGAGGCTGCAGAGGGGCCCTGGAAGCAGTCAAAGAAGCAAAAGGAAAGCAGTTATAGAGAAAGGAATTATCTTGTACTTGAGATTGCCCTCTAGTAGCTGCTGGACTGCTGTAACGGTCAAAGCTGCATTGTGTGATTTAGGCTAGAGACCCTGAGGGTTGTCCTAGCAGCGTCATGTAACAGAGAAGCCAGAAATAGAAAATACAGTCTTTCATCCTCCCAAATGATTGGTCAACTTGTCAGCTGAAGGGAAGGCCCCTGTCATCTGCTTGGTTCTTGGACATTAGATAGGATTTCTAAGCTTCCTTGTGACAGAGTCTAGGTAAACCTCTTGGAAATGGAAGAGGGACCTTCAAGTGTGATTCAGTGCTCATATGATATTCTAGGAATGATTTGAAAATGGTTAGGACCTGGACTTCTGTGCTACTGAGCAAGAGATTGTAAGCAGGGTGCTATTTCTGCTTGCATACTTTCACTCTCATTTCATTATATTTTTCAAATATTCTGCCACAAAGTCTCCTGAATTGCCCTTGGCTCCCCTCTACCTAGATGAAATTCCCTGCAAGAGGAGGCAGATCGACTCTGAAACAGATCATGGATGGGAGAAAAATATAGTCCTTGGGGAGGATTATTTAAAAATGCACGGAGAGGCGGCATGTTTGTGTGTGTTGGAATCAATCTATGCTTCAGGCCATGGCATCCAAGCTACAGCTTGTGGAGTCTTGCAGCTGTCCTGCAAGTCATCTCCCCAGGAAAATAATAAGGTGTTATTCTCAGCACAGCTCTTCCCACATGCCCATCCTGGCATACCTGGCAAGGGTGGGTCAGTCTAACTGTGTCCACCTCCAAGAGGACACAAGCCTAGGAGCAGCCCGCACACATGCCGGTTCCCACTCCCACGCCTCCGGCACAAATAACGCAGAGGCGCAAGCAAGCGCTCAGTGCAGGTGAGATCTTCCGGAGGGCCAGAGCGCAGCTCGGCCTGTCTTGAACAGAAACCTAAGTTTTGTTGTGGGCTGACATTACTGGCAGGCTTTACTAAGAAGCAGCTAAGTTACTTCATCGGAAAAAAACAATGAACAAATAGGCACGGAAGTGTGTGTTTAAGGTCAGTTAATTCTTTAATTTTCATGGACTTAGGGTGAAGTCCATGAGATTGTGGCAAATTGCCAATATGTTAATGTTGCAAATTTAGGGTGCTTCATGTTGGGGTAGAATTTTAGCTCAGACTCGCAGGATGTCAGTAGGAAACATGCTTCTCTCTGCGTGCTCTGGGACAAGAGGATCTGAAGAGAGAGTTTCTGTTCCTATGAGGATCCACGAGGATTTCCAGATTTTGTTATCTTTTTTCTCTGTAACTCTTAAGGTTATAGAAGCAAATTCAGCATGGCTGTAACCTTCCGAATTAGTCCTCAGTCGGTGTGGGAAAATTACCTGTGGTATATTTGTGACCTAAAACAATGTCTGGTTGAAATAAAATCCCCATAGTCAAGCGAACAATGGAGCGTTATTAAAATTAGGACTGCAGCAGTTTGTATGTTGGTCTGCTTTAGCCATTTTTCACCTCAGACTTCAACTGGCCTTTGAAAAAGTAATTAGCAGGTTCAGCAAACTGGTGGCTGGATTATTTTTCCTCCTGCTGAAGACGTTAAGATTGGTACTCCTGCTTAACCCATCCCAAGTTGCCAGAAATCATAAACTGAACCCTCAGAAATCATGAGTTTGGCTTTAAAAATCATAAGGGTGTTTCCTTATTTGTTCCTGTTAACTGGCTTTCTAGGCTTCAAACATTATTTTTCACCTGCCTGGGGCTTTTGTGCTTTGCTCTGCAAAAATAATTCCAGCAAAACTGCTGCTTTTGTACTAATGCGAGTCCAGAGTGTTATGTTTGCTTAAATATCAGGAGACAGGAACCTGTAAGGGCTTGAACTCTGGCCTTTTCCCCACTGAGGACAGTCATAGGATCCTGAGGTCTCTCGAATGATTCTTCTAACAACATAATTATCCATCGCTTTTACCTAGGAACGTTGCATGGGTAATAAGCTATGTTTGGCTTAATAAGTTATGAACTGCTGTTTGCGCTGTGCCTTTCCCTGTTTCCCTCCATAGCTCTGCTGGCCTGAGGTTGGCTCTCCTGCACGCGAGCGTCTCACTCAACTGATGAGTCTGAAAAAGGAGTTTTCTGTCCATTTCCCTCACTGTTTACTGATTTTGCAACAATTTCTTTTCCTTCAGTTACTCTCAATTAAAAAGACTAAAGGAGAAGAAAAGGGAGAAGAACCTGTAAGAGATGCTGGTGCCATGAAAGCAATTTTGGAAAGGGTTTAAAGGCCAATCTGATGGATGCAACTTATGAACTGGAATCAAATAGAGCCTGGGCCACTGTGAAGACAGTCAAAAGTCACAGCAAAAGTCATACATGTTTGGCCTGGGAGGGGGGAGTCTTTTATCTCTGATTTTTTTCATTGTTTTTACTCCCTGGCTGCCAGTTGGGTTACTCCTGCTTTATGCTGCTCAGGGACAAGAACAAGTACTCTTCTGCTGTAACAGCCTGCAACAGGAGCCAATAACTGGCAAGCGAAGTAACGGCTAGCTTGTAATTTTACTGGTTATGCCTTGCCAAACTCTATTAGTGAATATGATTAGCATAAGGCTATTCTTGTCTAGTTTATAACTTTCATATCTATTCATTGGTTTGTATTATCTTTTGCTGTGGCTCCAGCCTCACAATTATTTCATTAGAGAAAGTTCGATAGCTGATATTTTCTTGCAAACACTGCCACACTTGTCCTGCCTGCATGCGTCAGGGCTGAGCGTGATGTGGGTGCTGTGCGGCTTCTAAGGCCGTTTCCTGGAGCGAGCGGGTCCCTTTGGACCCCCTCCCAGCAGCAGCAGCAGGGCTGCGGGGGTGGGAGGAAGCACAGGGAATGCCCCATGGTTTCCGCCTTTGCAGCCCCACAGATACGGCTCTGCTGCTGCCAACTTTCGGTGATCGTTCCTCCCACAGTCGCTTTCCCTGAGGTCGCTTTCTATCTGCGCCTTGCATTTCTGCAATGGCTTCTGGTAAGGTACAGCCTCTTGCTCCCATGTCAGGTGGCTGTCAGCCAAGTCCTGCACAGGAGAGAGTGAACCTGTATGGCCTTTTCATCAGCATGACTCAGGGCTTTTGTTTTTTGTTTTTCCTTGCTATAATATGTCACCTTTCACCATTTCTGGAAAGGGGCATGCATGAACTGAGGGCCTTGCTGGATGCTTTGCTCCTTTTGCCTAGGTGGGTTCGAGTAGCCTGTTAGTCGAATAAGCATAGGGGTTGCACGTGGAGGGGTCAGTGGCAACACAGGCTGCTCATCGGGAAATCCTCAAGCTGCCTGGACAGTTTGTTTTTCTCTTCTGTGCAGAAATGCCAGACTCGATGGGTGTTGGGGGTCCTGCCCTGTGCAGCTCCCACATTTTGTATGGGAGAACCAGAGCTTGCTTTCCAGGAGTGACTCGCTCCCCTCTCGGCAGAGCACCACCCTTCCTCCGTGCCCCTTCTCCTGGCAGGTGCCACCTGACCCACATCCTGCCTTAATGCGGCCGGGTCACCTGTGCCCCCATCCCTGCCTGGGCATGCACTCGCTGCCACTGCCCCAAGAGCTGCTCTTAACCCCGTGTCCCAGCCAACCCTGGAGGAGCCTGCCAAAGCCTTCTGGCACCTTGTCAGCCATGGAGAGCACGCTTGTCATGTGGCACATGGAAAGGGATGCGGTCTTGTGGGCAGAAGAGAGAAGAAAGCACCTAAGCTTGTACCTCCACCGTCCAGCTTGTTCAAATTGCTGCTGGGGAAGAGAAGTGAGTTTTCACTGGTCTGGAGGAGCTGGGCTGAGAGAGGGATTCTCCCTCTTTGACCAAAGGTCTCTACTCTCTCTTAGAGGGGCAGCTTGGTACCTGTGGACATCTAGCTCTGGGCTTTGGGCATTGATCAGAGTGGCTGGGAGATGCCTGCATGCTGCTGACCTGCTAGCTACTGCCAGTCCACATCAACTTCCCAGTCCCGTCCCCCTTCCCCTCCAATGAAATATTAAAAGTGCACTCATTAACGACCCCTCGTTAGCGGCAGAACCGCAGGAGGCGTTTACTTACCGCCAGCGTGCAGCACAGCCACCATGATGGAGGGGAACCATGACGTCTCGCTGTTGGTGGCCTGGAATTCATGCTGAAGGTCCGTGAAGAAGACACCAATGCAGGAGGGGAAGCCCAGAGTCAGTCCTTGCAGCAGCACCGCGGCAAGCAGGACCATCCAGGCCCAGCCCCGGTCCTGGGGCTTGCTGGCTTCACGTGCTGCTGCCCCTCTGTGGGACATGATGGCTCCTTTCTCCTTCCAAGCCAGCCTGCTGGGCAAGGGAGCGGGGCTACCGCCTGGGACCGGCCCTACAGAGCAGGGCCGGCCGTGGCCCCACGCTCAGCCCCACTGACGCCTTCTGAAGCTTTCGCAGCTGATCCTTCAGCCTTCTCACTCTGCATTTCTCCCAGCGCCTCCCTTCCTTCTCGCTGCAGGATCCTGGCAGTGAATTACTTGAGAAACTTCCCCTTTTATATTTCACAAGACTGCGAGCGCGGCCAGGTACATAACCGGACCACACCTCCTCTGAGCTATGAATTGGCCTTACCTAGTTCCCGCCCTTATTTTCCCTTTCACCTGCTTTCATCATATGGAGTCCTCTTGCTGGCAATTGCTAAGGTCACCAAGACCTCATAGCGAGAGGATAAGGAAAACTGTGCAAATGCCAAGAAAAATAGCAACATATAAAGCTTGTAGCCAGGCTCTTTGCGAACCGTTCAGGAAAACTGCTCCTCTGCAGAGTTTAAAGTGCTAAAAACCATTTTTAAAACCATTAATCACTTAGGATCTAGTGATCTCAGTTATGCTCTTGGCTTTACCTCTGTTTAGAGCTAGAGCCTCTTCTGAGATCCCACGTCTGATTTCTTTGAGCCCAGCTGTGTGAAACTCATAGCAGAGGCATCCCTCGTCCTCTCCACGTGAATAAACACACATAAAGAAAAAAAAATCTGCTTTGGCAGCTGGATGAGCTCAACCGCAATGGCCCTAAGGTCTCTACTCTGCACAGCGCAATATTTATTTAGCATCTAAATAGCGCTTTTCCTCTAAAACAATAGCAACAACTGAGTTTGGCGTGCAGCTTCGAAAGTGACTAAGAGTTTGAGCTTGCTCAGTATTTCAAGCTGGCGTACTCACGGAGTTCGTCCCGTACCTCAGGCTGAGAGCC